ACACACACACACACACACACACACACACACACACACACACACACACACACAAAATATATTTTAAATGTATGAAAAATTTGCTTACGAATAAGTCATGTTATCTTTATAAATGCAAATTAGTAATGTTATCCAAAAACTAAACAAAACCAAACCAGAAAAAAAACAAACCAGCACATTGAAGCAAAAAATCCAAACTTTAGCTTCAATAATTTATTCATTCGTATTATTCAAGGTTCCTTTAAGTTCACCCAATACCAATACTCAACTGAAAAAAAAATTGATGACGTGATCGGAAATCAGGACGTCCTACTTTTTATTATTGTGTTGGTTTAAGCATGCTACAAATTAAGTTCACATTCCTTCAAATTGTCAAAATTGCTCTTAAAAGTCAACCAGTGCAACGGATTGTGTTTCGCATTGGAGGTCCAAAGCCGGCCAATAACTCAGGAAATGCAGTATATTTACTGCATTGAACATTTTCAAGCCCTGTTCGAACCTTGAAAAATGAAGCACTTTTCAAGAAATGGAAGCAACCCTGAACATGAGTAGCAGGTTAGTGAACAAACCAAACTCTAGTAGATTGTGATACAAATGCAGATATCACACACACACACTTGCATGCACAAATAGAACCCTGTGTGTGTGCGTGTGTGTGTAAAATTGTTACAGTCAAGCAAAGTGTACACAACAGCCCTCACCTGGCCAATCCACTGGAATCAGAAAAGACATGAGATCCCATGTTACAGCCTGTCATACAACTGTCACTTATATTTAACACAAATACATGACACCAAATGACACATTTTATGAAAAATAAATGTTAAGTTTGACAGCTTTTGGAACATATTGATATTAAAGTTCAGCGATCAGTAGGTTTGAGGAAAAAAATTATCGTTCCGATCAGAAGATGGACCAATATATTTATTAAAACAAACACATGAACATCGCCAGTGATTCAAGTAGGCGGGGTTTTTTTTTTGCGAAAGCTATTCTGGTTCAACAGCTGTAAATAAGTCCATCCACTTACTTACCAGCTTTCATTTGTGTAAAATAAAATAAGAGTTTCCCGCAGCAGATCATGGAGGGTATCAAATGTTAGAAAGTTGTAATCGATTCCAGCGAGTCTAGTCTACATATGCACATCTACGCTTGCAACAAGTTGTAAAGATTGATTACGAAGCAGTATCGTAGTTGTTTCGAGTGAGCACATTTAAACGCAGTGAATTAAAAATAGTGAAATAAAACACCCCAACGTGACCAATTTCATTCATTCAAGCATTATTAACACCATCTACGTTTTTTGTGTGTTTTACCAGAGGCGGTGGAGGTGCGTCTGAAGTGTTCGGAGTGTGATTTTCGCTGCGTGCGTGAGCCATAGCTGGAGTGGGAAGGGCTGGATGACCAGCTCCGACTTTCCGACTGTGGGGAAGGGGGCGGTTCGTCCAGTTTTTCAGAGACCGTGGTGGCAGGTCGGCCATCCTCTGTGAAAACACAAGTGCCACAAATACAGTTGAGACTACAAATAATATTCTACTTCCTTTACGAGTAAGGGAAAACATTTTAAAGTCATCTGAATGACGTAAAGAAAAATACTGTGAAAATTGAAAGATCTTTTTTTTCCACAAATAAAAACAAGGATGTGACTCACGGTAGTTATCGAAGACACTTCTGATATTAATTGGATTTATGCTTGAGGTCATGCTACCGTGTGTTCCATTTCTAGTTCTACGGTTATCGTCACCCTTTTCCTAACTGTGACTGGTACCTTTCTGTGGTAGCATTGCAAGAAACACAAAACGAACCAGGGAAAAAGCAAAAAACACTTGTAGTGTTAATTCTTTGAATGTGTTTCACTTTTAAGACTATTTTTTACAGATTTTGGGGGCAGGGGGCTTTGACTCTGTAAATATCCAATAATCAATATTTTGTGTCAAGTATTTCATAGTATTTCACATTCACGCAAAAGGGAACACCATAATTGAAAAATATGTGATTCCTTTTCAAGTGTTGACAAATGTTACTTTCCGCTATACCCAAGAGCATGTTAATTGCATGACCATTTCACAGCGAATGATAATTGACAGCGAGAGTTCTGTGAGCCACATGGCAACATCATTAATTGCTATTCAGTAACCTATTTGTAACCTTGCAAAGTAATTGTTGTCAGATTACATCAATGAGAAGTAACACGTTACATTCGTCGTTACAGGGGGGAAAACAAAAGTACACAAAGTAATGCTTTGTTTTCTAAAGCGTTACCGGCATCACTGACAATAACAGAGTAATAAATCACAAGGATGGTGAGTGTGGGGGTGTTTTGTCACGAGACCTGCCACATGACCTCACAAGACTGAGAGCGGTTGCACGAGGCTTCCAATAACACACACAGATGCATGAGGCTAATTGAGATTTACAGTAATGTGGAACACACTGAGTCGAATTTAAAAAGAGATTTAAAAATATTAACCCCCCCTCGATTTTCAGGTGTTAGCAACGGTTCTTTGTCTTGCATAACAAAAACAATTACAACAATAGGGGGAAAAAAAATACAGGCATCACACATTGATGAAAGACAGTGGTTCAAAACATTTTTTGGCTTGTGTACCCCCCAAACATTTTTGTCATACCATCAGACCCCTCACTCAGACATTTTTCTGATTCTCCAAAAGAAAAACGTGACACAACTGATTATTCGATGAAACACATTTTATTTTGTATTATTAATTTGAAATTGTAATTATTAGCCATTGTTCCTTTGAATGCAAATTAACCACAAAAATAAATGCATTGCCTTGTATTTTAAAGAAATTTAAACTTTATCAGGAACAAAATACTGAACGAGAATAAGGTTCAGAACCACAATAGCAATTTCACTTTCTTTTCATCAGCCATGCGAACTTTAATGAGACACCCGAGTTAACACGCAGCTGTTGTGATTTTTGTTGGGGCGGTGCCACAGGTCCAAATTGAAAGAATGAGTTACGGCATTAAATCTGTCGATATACCCCGAGCAATATGCGCACATACCGCTAGGGGTACGTGTACCCTTGGTTGGGAAACACTGGTTTAAGAGCTGCCTGTGATTATAAACCTAGCAAGCAGGTGGTTTCGTGTGCACATGAAGCTTCGCGAGATTCATCCTTTCTGAACCAATTGGCCCAAGTGGTTCGATAACACAGAGGCTTGATCGCACGAACACTAAGGCCAGGTACACATTAAAATCTTAAAATATGTATTAGATGTATGGTACAGGTTTGCAATTAGTATTCCTTACTGTTGCACTTAGTACAATTTAGCTATGCATCAAGCAATATCTGTCATGGAGCACAAAGTGCAGATGGTGGGGCCGAGATATGTGCTCACTAACCTCTGTTGTTGAAGCGAAACAAGTTGACAAAGGAACTGTACGCCGATCGCAGCGGCGGCTCATCCTGCTCCGGCGTGAGTGGCTTGAAGTGCGTTAGGTGGGAAGGGCTGGTGGGCGAGATGACCGGCGGCTCGACGCTCCAGTTCGATGATGACGACGGCACGAACTTGTCCCCGGATGCCATCTCCTGTAGTCTCCTTTTAGGGTGGATGGGACAGTTTGATTAGACAGTTTTTGAATAAAACATTTGCTCAAATGTTATTATCAATCATTAATGATAATTTATGGGGAGACACTGTTTATGTCCATCCATTCATCCATTTTCTAATCCGCTTATCCTCACAAGGGTTGCGGGCGTGCTGCAGCCTATCCCAGCTGTCTTCGGGCAGCAGGCGGAGTACACCCTGCATTGGTTGCCAGTCAATCGCAGGGCATACATAGACTAACAACCATTTGCGCTCACACTCACACGTAGGGGCAATTTAGAGTGTTCAATCAGCCTGCCATGCATGTTTTTAGAATGTGGGAGGAAACCGGAGTACCCGGAGAAAACCCACGCAGGCCTGGGGAGAACATGCAAACTCAACACAGGAAGGCCGGAGCTGGAATCAAACCCGGTACCTCTGCACTGTGAGGTTGACGTGCTAACCACAGGATCTGCTGCTCCACTGTTTATGTTAAATCATTCAATCCCCATTACGTATAAATACGCCTTGAAAACCCGTTATGGCCGCCTACCCATGATGTATTTATATGTCATTTCCCTTTTTTTCCTGTTTTAATTGCGCCATAGTGTCTGACAACGGATCAGGCTTGTCTGCATTGTAAAGCATTTAAATCTGTCCAGCAGGTGGCAGCGTGTGTCGAGGGAAGAGCCAGTATCATGCTGTAGAACAAGTAGAAGTAGACGGGGGAGGGATGCATGGGCGGAGTTGTCTAGTTGAGATGAGTTGGGTGAAGTAGCGTGTAGTTAGTAGAGAGTGCATTCGAACCAGTAGCAATGGAGAAATGAAAACAATTACCTCGAGAGCATTGCTTTTGGGGAAGAATATCTTCCACTCTGGATAGGGTGGAGGAGTTTTTGTCAGCAGCAAGGTGCTTTTCTCCGCCAAAAAGTAAGAAACAGCTATCAAAAGAGGTGCCATGCATGAACATCATCTGCCTCATGCAAACGCCATACCATGGCGAAAGTGCCTTCGCAAAAGCAAGCAAAGTGAAACCAGAATGCGGTGTAAGACATTTACCCTTGTATCAGGGAAATTGCTTTATTTTGTATCACGCACAATTTTATATATATATATATGCATAAATTGCAGGGTGAGGGGGGACAGACACATGCACGAAATTGCACAATGGAGGGGAAACACACACGTGCTTCCACATGCAAACATACATGTGCACACACTCACTGAACTCATTGTTTCACTTCTGTTCATAGTTCATTTCATCAGTTCAATAGAGTGCAGATAAATATCTTTGCTACAAAAAAGCCTTTTTGTGTTGTTAATGTTGTTTTGTATAAGGAACGTCTTATTTAGATGTTTTGAGATGTCACAAAAGCAAAAAATAGTGGTGCCAAATTGCTAAAGAACAGAAAAAGATAGAACCAAACTTTTTTTTCAGCTGAAAGAAGAGAGTCTCATCTTTCCTTTGGTAGACTGCATGTGTATATTGCAATAGAACACATCTGCAATAGATGCAATTGCAATAGAACATCTCTGAGCCTTGCAAATCAGTCAAAATCCAGTAAAACAGCTGGGATTGAGTGGTTTGCTCCAGTGAAAATGGCTGGAATTGAATGAGTTAATGAGCACGTTGGTAGACTGGTTAGCACGTCCACCTCACAATGCAGAGGTCGTTTGTTTGAAACCGGCCCCGGCCGTTCTGTGTGGAGTTTGAAGGTTCTCCTTGTGCCTGCGTGGGTACTCCGGTTTCCTCCCTCATACCAAAAACATGCATGGTAGGGTTTATTGAACACTCTAAACTGTCCCTAGGTGCGATACTAAGTGCGAATGGTTGTTCGACTTTGTGTGCCTTTGCGACAGGCTGGCATCCAGTTCAGGGTGTGCAAAGCCTGCTGTCCGAAGGCAGCTGGGATAGGCTCCGGTATGTCCACAACCCTTGTGAGGATAAGCAGATCAGATGTATGCATGGATTTCTCACAAGAACAAGTAAATAGATAAATAGATGCACCACTTTATTTCTATAAATCTCTGCCACTGTGTTTATATTTTCAAAAATCACTTCTACAACATTCGAAGAAAATCACAATGTCCCATCATTGGTGAGCTATTTTTAGAACAGAGCACCGCGTTGGTGACCCCTGGAGGGGAGAGTGATCTGCATCACCGAAAAAAACACTCTCAGGGTAGTGCACGGGTGTTGCGAGTGAATTTCCAAACGCGACCCTAATGTTCATGGTTTTGGTTTTTGTAAAACAAATTCCCCTTAAAAATAAATAAATATGAATAAAATAAAAACTATAAAATGAATGGAAATGTCTTAACTGGTCCTGACTTAGAAGGAGGAAAAATAGCAAGAAAAGCTGCAATTTTGCGAGGTAAAATTGCAAACGATGAAATTACGGTCACACATGAAAATCTGCAGTAGAGTGACTCCGCAATAACCGAAATACCAAAGTAACAAGGGGACTTTGTAATTCCCCGAGAGAACCTCAGTGAATTGTCTATTTGATTACATTGTTCAGTACAGTGGTTTAAGAGTTCCTTGAACTTCAAACACAGCAAACATGGCATTACAGAGCTGCACAAACATTTACTACATGATGTAGTGAGATACAAAACAAGCGATTTGCAGCTGAGAACAAGTGACTACTACAAACTAAAAGTGACCACAGTCTGTTGTTATACACCATATTTGACAACAAAAACGGCATCTTCTACGTATACCATGACAACTGAACGTCTCTAAAGTGGCACACACCCTTGAAAACTACACAATAACTCGGTGATAATGCAGTTGAATAGAAATTCACCCTCACGTTGACGCTTACTACTAAGGGACAATCGATTAGTTGGGCTTTATAAGCGTTACATTTCTATTACTGTACTTATCAATTTTCTCCCACGTAACCTTAAAGTACAAATGTGACATAACTCAACCCAAACATCTGTTTAACTTACTCTTTGAAGAACTGTCCGAACATTATACGTCAAGCCATTTGCGATCATCAAATGTCGACAAAATTGCAGAAGTGCTCGCATCACGTTATCCGCCTTGTCATGTGACCATAACAGGCCGCAGCGTGACTGACGTTATGGAGTACTGTACTAAGTGGATGTTTGACGCCTCAGCTGGAACTTGAGACCCAGCCAAATATTAACATACATGTCAAATAGAGTCCCCGTGTCTTGTTCGGGACATTAACGCGATGGCAAAGAAACTTCCTTCCGTGCTATTTTCAGGAAATGCTACCAATCGGCGCAATTTACGTGCCACAAAAATGCTCATTTTTGTAATCATTGAAATCACGTCTTTAGCTTCTCCCACAGCGCAAATGTCAAGTTGGTACATGCTAGCTCACGTTAGCCTCCTATGCTAACCAGCCGGTTTCCCGCAACCTTTTTTTTGCCACATTCTGAACCTGCCTTCGACTTACCCATTCACTTAGAGGTTCGACATCGTTGGTTGAAGACCTCAAACGAGCCAGGCATCCAAAAATTCCATTTCATTGAGCATTTTGGCCGTCCTCAACACACAGATCAGTGGCTTTCAGACTTACTTCACGTCCCACTTAACTACTGAGAGGTAAATAGATGGGTAGACATTACAAGTCGAGCCAGCACAATTGAGAAGTCGATTGGATACGGTTGTTTTGAATTGATTTCATACAGTGAACCATTGTTGACATAAGTATATAAGCAGCATTGTGCAATGAATCCACAAGGTGAAGTGGATAAACCACAAGCTGCAGCATTCACTCATGATGTGTAGCTATATGAATCTTAACTACGTTGTCATCTCCCATCAGTGATTTAGACATACTTTGGAGTCAAGTATATGCTGTACATTGCATCATAGTTAGGGTGTTGTTAAAAGTATTTTCTACATTCATTAATCCGTAGAAGTGAACTGGTTAAAGTGACATAAAACGGGAGACCAGCATCTGCCTACCAAAGCATCTGCCTACCAGACAAACCCTGGGAATCAGCTTAAGTAACCAACTGTAGTAGTTTCTGATTGGTTGCTCGCGGACTCTAAGCGGAAGTACGGCGAAGTTTGTTAGTGTTCAAAAATGGAAGCGGTTGTTGTTTTCGAAATGTTCTCCAATGTAATTGTTTCAGTTGAGTTTCTGTTTTCGTTTCTTGCGTGAAATTGAAAAGGATCTACTCGACAAAGTCGCATGCCGTGTGACTCCATTTGCGTGAGTTAAAGAATTCAGAATCGCTAAAACAACAACAAAAAATGTTGATGGCAAATGCTAACGGCACCGTCGTCTGACTAACAATCAGATTATATCACTATACATTTAAATATACGGTACATGTAAGTGTACTTAAATGTTCAGCTTTAACCCAATGTACTGTACGAGCACCGACGTTTTTGTTTTTTGTTTGCAATTTAGCTACCCAGATACAGTGATGTAATTGTAATGTACATCCAGATACACTGATGGATTTATAAAATTTTAACGTGTATGTTAATTTACAAATACACCAAATACATTTCTGTATATGTAAATATCCACTTGTTGATGAGTTTTTTTTTAAAAAGACACTTTACCAGACAGCTGAACCTTCAGACCAATAACAATAACCTTAAGACTAAAACCAGCAAATTTGACCTGCAAGCTGCGTGGGTAACTCTCTGAGTGTACTATTTTATTTAAATTGTTTTTTTTTGTCTTTCAAGTGACTGCATTTCTCAGTGTAAAACAACGTGATTTTTCTCCAATTATGATGCAATTAAAAACAATGAAGCCTACCAAGGCTTCCAAGAAGGAATTTGCTTCAGCATCCAGGATAAAAAATAAAATGCACAGTGAGTCTCTCTGATTTCTTGAATGACATTTATAAGATTACGTCTGCTAAATGTTAATCTTTTTATTTAATTATTTATTTTGTCCCCCTTCTCTCTCAATGTTCTGCCATACCAGACACCTCCTCCTTCTTCAAGGTCTCATTGAAGACCAACAACAAGGCCCTAGCTCTCGCCGTACAGGCCGAGAAGCAGAAGTCCATGCTACTACAGACAGAGAACCTGCACCTGAGAAGGGAAGCACAGTCTGCATGCTTTGATTTGGCCACCACGAAGCACAAGTACAGGAAACTGGTGAGATTATTTATTTCATCCCATGTGCAGATTTCAGCTCACTGGCTGATTAATACTTTTGCGGAATTTCTCATGAGAATTAGAATTGAGGATCAGTAGTTTTTGTGCCCTCTGTTTGCTTGGATGCACTCATAGATGGATTTAAATCGTTTTAATTGTCTATCTCTACAGCTGACTCGAGTCAGAGAGTTCCCTTTCTGTTCCTATAGTTCATTATTGCACTTATCTCTCTGCCATCATTAGTATTTTTCAGTGCTGTCTTCACAGGAGACATACGAAGCTGATTACTTGTGTGACATCGTGTACGAAAGCAGTTACCTTTTTGAAGCATTCAATTTAAGATGTGCAAACAAGCTCACAATTAAGTCGTTCTTTTACAGCTCCTCATCTTGAAAAACCTTTATCACAGTACTCTCCAACACATGAACATGGTAGCTGAATTATTCCCTGACAGCGTAAGTAGAAATCTTGAAATGTTTTTTGTTGGTATTTTGTGGTGTGTGTGTGTGTGTGTGTGTGTGTGTGTGTGTGTGTGTGTGTGTGTGTGTGTGTGAAAACTTACGTGAGATTGATAGGGTATTGATTCATGGCTGTCTTCACAGTGACCTTCAGAACAGCTTAAAAGAGCCTAATTCTACTGTGAGAAAACAAACAAAAAAGCCACCCGAATGTTTAAATATAACGGCTTAAAATCAGGGCGTGGGACAAGACTGTCAGGTTTTGACGTCTTGCCCAATATTTGTGCATTCGGTACTGTGGCCCTTGGGGTCTAAGCTTTAAGAGGAGGTAATATTGGGGATTTTTGGGAGTCTGGGTTTTAAACAAATATTAAAGTATCCGTATGTTTTTGTTTTTGTTTTTTTTTTTTTTGTGAGTCGTGATCATATTTGTTTTCATTTACCAAGAAGTGGTTCAATACAAGTTATTTTACAAAGTTAAAGGAGACATCTGCATTTGGTGCATGCAGTTCCGAGGTGTCCTATTGACATGGCTATGGTATGGTTTTGACGCATTTTACATAGCGTATGTTTTTGTCTTGCTGAAATTAGCTAGTTGTTAGCAGGCGGCCCAGTCTCATGCAAAATGAGCTAGCACCCATCCTAAACCTCATCCCCCTCACCCTAAGGTCACCCATGATGATGAGGTGGCTCACAATGATAACAAGTTTGACAGCCCTCTTCTAAAGGGACTTAATACGGAATACTATGTATGTTTTGAGCTCTTGATGTACATTTTTGGTAATCTTAAGCGAATGTCTTTTTTGATCTCCCAGGCTCTCTTTGAAGCATCAGAGGACGACAATGTCCTCCCAACTGATTCTGACAATCCTTCAATTGAAAAGTGAGGTTGATTTTTCATTATAATCTGTCATCCTTTATAATATTTAACTTCACTCTAACTGATTGTTGTGACAACCTTCAAAGTGTGGCACCAGATCCTCCAGAAGTTTCAAAGGATTCAGCGGAACTCAGTCCAGAAATGCAACCGGGCAGTCCTGAAAACAACATGCCTGCTGTCTTACCCACTCTGAGCAGAAATGTGTCTACTGGCAACGGTACGTGGGCAGAATTGTTGGGACACCTCTTCATCAATCAATGAATCAAATCATCAGAGATTGGACTGAACACCTTTTTCCATCCTGTCTCTTACGTAATTCTTCATCTTGTGAGAACACGCTGCACAGTTACACTCTCTTGCTTGTCTGTTCTAGCATAGTAGAGATGGTTTAATCCATTAATCAATTCTATCAATTGTATCGAATTGTTAGTGTCTTGAATTATCCATACGGCAAACCTGAGTGCAATACTTGATTTCAACCAATAGAGGGACTCAACTATTCTTAATACTGTAGTACAGTAGAACTCCTCTACAATGAAATCATGTTTGCAGCCAGAAATTTTCATAACAGGGGACTTTTCACTATCACAAATTTTATCACACACACACACACACACACACACACACACACACACACACACACACACACACAAAGTACATGTGTACTCTTTATTTTTATTCCAATAGTGCGTAAGTATGAGCATACACTTATTTGATTTTGTTTAACACTAGTGAAATTTCTAATCACGTGCTAACAATAACAAACACTTCCTGTACTACTACTGTGCAAGCCGGTGTGGTGGTTGCTGTAGTCGTTTCCTAGCTAAGCAGTAGCATTGGCTATGGCAGGGTGAGGTTGGATTAGACTTTTGCGGTAGGCTTGTTTTCGTTGTACTGAACCTCATTGTGAAGCGAGGGTGGAGAAAAGGATTTCGTATTATGCAACAGGGGGACTTTTCATTGTAGGGTGAAGCGGAAAGAGGGAATGGCTTGAATGAATGAAGATTTCTTCACACTAGGGGGTATTTTTGCACATGTAGGTTTAGTTGTAGAGGAGTTTTACTGTAGTCTAAAATAGTGGTGCAGAGTACAAGACAGTAAATTCATTCCGATACGATTGTTAATTACGATGTTTGGGATCTGATTAATCTTGAATAGAACCCCCACATTTTTTTTTCCTGTGAAACCTATCCGTTGCTGTATAGGGGCGATCAAAACTATGCAGACTGTCCAGGACCCCCAAAAATCTGTGACCCATTGCTTTACTTGACTACAGCCGTGACCGCAAGACCATCATAGCCTTTGGAATTAACTTCACTGTTGTTAGTGTAGTGGTTCACACAAGGCTAATTTCGAGCAAGGGGAATTTACCCTGGAACTCGGAACTTTAGGTATCTCATGATTAAGGTCGTACTTTCTTGATGTTCAAGAACCTTTGAGGTAGTGTCTGCAATATCGAACTTAGCTGATGAGAAATTTCTGGTTCCAGGGCTACAAATATCAAAAACTAAAACATCCTGGAAACTTAGGTGGGCATGTTTATTTTCTTTAACTGGTAGGGAGAGTGTTCCAATACTTTTGCCTATCCTGAAAGCATGTGTTTGTAGCTGCTCTGTTAGGTCACTGAGGCATTGATTTGTGTTCCTTTCCACGACTCCACAGCAAAAACAGATGACGGGAAAAGGGATTCAAACCAGCAGACACTCCAGATGGAGTCAGCGCACCAGTCCAACAACTTAAGGGAGGAAGTGAATAGGCTGTCAGCTAGGTTCTCTCGGTCTGGTTTCGACCGCAACTCTTTGCCGTGTCGACTGAGCAACCCAACATCTTCAGCTTTGACTAGTACTGAAACACCGTCTCCCTCTGCTGGAGTCAACGCTCCTTGTGATCTTATGGAAGTTGTGCCAGAGCATACCGTGGTCTTCAATACAACCATGGAGATGACTCAAAGTAATGCTTCGGAAATTGTCATTCATCGTTCTGCGGAGGAAAAAACACTCCAGAAACCGAAATGCAAGAAGAAAAAACAACGTAATGTTGTCGCTTCAAGGCCAACAGACAGTTCACAAGTTTTGGATGAGGCAAATTCGAGTGTGAAAGTCACACCGCCTGAGCTTAGTGACACTGCCTCGCACACAAAACACCAGGCACCAGAAAGTTTGGACAAGCATCCTAAAGCGGAGTCTCAAAGTAAGCTCACATCGCGTATTCCCAAAAGGGTGAAATCCAGAGTTGGCGGCCATCAAAAGGGAAAAAGCACCAAGTCAACATTGGATTCTGCTGATTTTGTCTGTCCTGCCTTGGATGATGACGTCCTTTCCTTTGCACCCAACCAAAACGAGGAGTTACCCATAGAGAAGGATTCCTCGAAAAAAACAAAGTCAAACATTACATATAGGAAGTACACAAAGAAAAGTCAACGGAGGTCCTCGATCAGTATGACGTCAGTGTTGTCACCTCATGACCGAGAGACTGGAGGCTCCACGGTGGACCACAATGAGAGGACAGACAGTTTTGCAACTGCAGAGTTGGAGGAACCAAGCCATTCCACAGGTGGATATGAACCACAGGTAAATGCTGAGTCTGCCCCAACCTCTCAAGGACATCCCAACTCAAGGTGCAGAAAGACATTTGTTATATCTGTGGATCACCCTGCACGCATCAGAAAAGAACCAGAACTATTGTCAAAAGATCACGAGTCCTACCACGATGTAGAAGAATCCTTGCGGCCCTGCGCAACCACAGATGGAGGTTCTGTTGCACCAAAGCCAAGCTCCTGTAAGCGTCCTTGGGAGTCCACTCAGAATCAAGGAAGCCTCCCAGTAAACTTGTCTGACAGTGATAACAGGGACGACATACTGCCACGGGAGGAATCCTCGGCTGCAGGTTATGAGTTTCAGAAGCCCAAAAAAGCAAGAAAGGAGGTCTCGAGGAGATCCAGCAGGGAAAAATCACATTTCAATCATGACTCTAGCGATCATGCAAAGAACAAGAACAACAAAAAACAACACCATGACAAAGGTGTTTGTCCTGCGGAGGATGTGGTTTATCTTCCGGATCCCCCTGACTCCTCTTTCTGTAATGTGTTTGCATTCTTGGATGATCCTTATGCACACAGTGAAGACATACTTAAGTCAAAGTCCTGGGCGGATAGGAATTCTAAACGGTACCGTAAGACGTCCAAATACTGTCCACCAGACAACAGCGCAAGAAATCTGAGGAAGACATTTGTCGTTTCCGAGCCGAAAATGCCTCCTATCAACACAATGACGATGTTGTCCAAAGAAATGGCTGCGGATGCGGGTGAAGGTGAAGCACCTCGTCAGCATTTGGGTGACCTGCTCACTGATGAGACGCCACCATGGATGAACAGCTCAATTGCAGACACGGAGCCTGGCTCTTTAACTTGTAGTCCTAAAAAACGTGCCTCAAAGGGGCGACAAGTGGTGGAGGAGACTGCCTTGATCACGCCTGTCTCTTCTCCAGGTGAGTTGACAATGAAGTTTAGGCCACATAAACTGTGATTTTTTTTTTTTTTGTACAGTTGATCCATTGAGCCGAAACACACTCTGTTCCTGGAGGATGTTCGACCTTTTGTTAACTTTTTTTTGTTTTTTTGTGTGGGTTAGAACGAGCCATGGGCTGATATTAAATTCTCATGGTATGCTACCTGTGAGCAAAAATGAACATAGTATTTAAATTGCAGCTCTAAAATGTCCCATTTTTGAAATATTTGGGTAAATCAAAACGACTTTCTTTCTATTTGACACAATCTACTTGATTTTTAAACAAAATGTGGAATATTTGGTGCATTAAGAAATGTAACATAAGTTGAAATGAATCACTGTTACATTTTTCTTCTGTTTTAATTCTTCTAAGCAACTCACAGTGTCCCACCACTGGTAAGCTATTTTGAGGACAGACTTGGGGATAACTGCTCCTCACTGGCACTACATTTTATATATAGTTTAGCTGGTCTGGGAATCCCTTTGTGGGTTCCTATAGTGGCACTGAAGGAGAAAACTAGGACAAACGTACTGCACTATATTTTATAGTACAGCTGGGTATGCTGCAGTTGGTACATTGTTTAAGCAGATTCATCACAGCCGCGTTCACCGACATTTCCCTTTCGTTTGTGGATGCACAGGTAGAAATGATGGAAACTCTGGACGTTGTCGTATGCCACTCCACTCCGCTTTGCTGGAGCGCTCCCTAGAATTTGTCGTAAATTTAATACAGGAGACCCTCCTCCATTGTTTGTTTGCTTGTCTCATTTCCACTCATGTCTTCTCTGGTTTTTGTAGTTCCCCACAGTTGTGGTCATGAAGTGTAAGGAGTACTGTAGTTCAAAGGGAAAAACCACAACCCTGCAAACTTGGCATATTTACTTGACATAAAGCAGTTAAGCAGTGGCTGTGTGTGACTGAGAAAACGGTGTTGTGTGTTACAGCAAGTCGAGCCTTAATGTCAGTGACCAACACCATTGCTAACCCAGATAAAGAGAACCAAGGGAGAGGCAGGAGATGCAAGGGCGTCGTCAGTTACAAGGAGCCATCCCTGCACAGGTGAGTCTCTGTTCACCGTGAAGTCCATTGGCGTAAAAAAAAGAAGACGAAACAACGGCTTACGTTTTCTGTTTGTTTTTTTGGGGCAGCAAAATGCGCCGTGGAGATAAATTTACCGACACCATGTTCCTAGACTGTCCAGTTTTTAAAGGCCGTCAGAAGAAGAAGAAGAAAAACAAGTCATCGTCGCAAGTGCCCATTAGCAAAGAATGATTTTTGCTTCTTCTTTACTTAATTTTTTTTTTAAGTTTTATGTTGGCTTTAATGCGCATTCAGTATGTTTAATAAACATATTCTACTGACTGTGCGTGAAGTTGGAAATGTCAAACACAGCCTCCAACCAACGCGTCTGTGTTGGTTGGAGGCTGTTCATAAATGATTCAGAGCTGCTGGTTCATCTGAGACATTGCCTATTGTTTCCCATGTGAAGGTCACATTCTGTCCAGTCTGGCTGGACACAGCTGTTTGGTGGGTACAAATGTGTGAATTTGCTTTACATAGGTTACTGTACTGTTTGTATTGATTCACCATCGGCATCGCAATGGGTGATTGTGGTTTTATTTTGCTGCAGCTTTGTTTTGCATTTTTCTTTTAGTCCGTGTCTTGCTGTTTTCTGCAACTACTTTCCGTCGGTTAACCCCTAAAACAAGAAAAGACTCCCTGCCAAAATGGAGTCAAAGCAGCTGAAAAGAAATGTTGAATTTCTCTTGTGAGTATATGCATTCAGACTGAAAGAAAGTATAAAATGTAGATGCCAATGCTTTTGTTTTCCTCATCCCAGTGATGAATATATTGGGCAGAAATTCCGAGAGAATTCTTTTGACCCTACGGGAAAAGGAGCCTCCACAGTGCTTGATGACCTGGTAAAATAAAAATAGTCGCACCTTAGTGAATACCATCACCAAGGCCAAACAACCCAAACACAGTTTTGTAAATCGTATGGACGGACACTTGGCTCCTGCACGAGCCAGGAGGACAAAGTACATTTAAGTAACGTGCTCATTGCAGAGTCCAACTGGCTTAAGTTACTCAACTGCATGTCTCCAATAAAGTGATCATAGCCTACTGCCGCTTGTTGGAATGAATTGTAATCCATAACAGGTGGTTTGACGAGAGGAACAATGGAAAGAGCTGCTTTTGCTCATTTTAATGAACAAATGGTTAAAAAATACAATTAACACAGGCATATTGTTCCCTACCGACCAATGCCGTCAAATGGCGCCGCCACTCTGACAGGTGGTTTGACGAGAGGAACGATGGAAAGAGCTGCTTTTGCTCATAATGAACTGCTTTTGCTCATAATGAACAAATGGTTAAAAAATACAATTAACACAGGCATATTGTTCCCTACCGACCAATGCCGTCAAATGGCGCCGCCACTCTGCAAAGGCACTCAAGCTACAGGCCGGTATCATCCTCATTTGCTGGCTTCCATTCAACAGCCCCTGGCCTGTTGAATGACAGCTTGTTTATCAGGTGTAAGTGAATATGAACGCACAGATGTGTGCATGAAGCGGGCAAACAATAATTTCCATAAAAAAGTATGGGGATTTACAAATTTGGTTGGATTTGTCCGTGAAGATACGCATACATTTACGCACAGTTCAAACCGGGGCATATTCTCCAGTTCGCACTCAAGTCAATTCCTTACGTGACATTTTTGCTCACTTTTAAGACAAGGCGATTCTCCGTTCTCTGTGATTCGGTGAAGTCCAGCAATCGATTAAAAGAATTGCAGCGTGCGCCTCAGTGTCATATCTTTGATCCATTTTGTTGCTATTTTAGGCTCACTATGATCTCGCCATCAGCGTTGCTGTTTGGTGGCTGGAGGAGGAGCCAGGATCCAAAACACGGGACAAAGATCTCATGTAGGGTTTCTGCCATCTTTTAGTCTGAGGTTTCAAATTATTAAAACACTTTAAAGGAGACATTTATTCACAGTTGAAGGCCGTTAAGAGGTTACATGTGAAAAGGTCTCTGGCAAAATTTAATCAAATTACCCAAAGGCAGAATACCATCGAAACTAGTAGAGATAACAAAAATTGTTTGAATAAAGAAAAAAAAAAATCAACTATTGGTAAAGAGGTAGGTATGGGCATATGGCTTTCATTATAGTTGAAGTTGAAGTTTATTGAACATACAATACAATAACAAATAGTGATGACTATAGGCAGAGATAGTGTTTGTGACTATGTCTACTCAGTGTTGCCAGTTTAGTAACTTTTTGTACCACTTTAGCAACAATGTTTCAAATCGCGATGAGCAACAAATCTTGGAACTTGATGGTGTTCTTTGAGATTTAGAGACTCTCCAGAAGAGAGGATGTTCACCCCTCTGCATCCATATTGCAAATGAAAAGCACTTTTGTGAGGCCACCAATGCCTTGTCGAAGTTCTTGTGTAAAATAGTGTTAATTGATTTGCCCAGCTGTTTTGTAACAGAGAATCTTGATTAGATGAGCTCATCTAATCAAGTCTTTATTCAATCAAGTCACACAAGTTTGTCATTATATACATTTAGATACCATAAATCAGAAACGGGTAACTTAAATGATGGAGGGGGCCACAATTTTTTGTTAGCACCACTGGGGTTCCCACATAGGACAGCACACAGTACGTACTTCTGAAACAGATGTATGACAAAAATGGCAATTGAAATAAGCAGCGTTTGACATTAATGGTGGCCCGATGGCCCGGGGCCACCATGTGACTATTGGGCCAATCGAACTTCACTTATCCTGGCCCGACCGCGCCACCAATCCAAATTTCATGAATTAAAAAATAAGATGAAAACGACATGCTCTTGATTTTTTTTAATATGGACTGTTCAATATTGGGCGGCCCGGTGGTCCAGTGGTTAGCGCGTCGACCTCACAGTGCAGAGGTACCGGGTTCAATTTCATCTCCAGCCTCCCTGTGTGGAGTTTGCATATTCTCCCCGGTGCTCCGTGGGTTTTCTCCGGGTACTCCGGTTTCCTCCCACATTCCAAAAACATGCATGGCAGGCTGATTGAACACTCTAAATTGTCCCTCGGTGTGAGTGTGAGCGTGGATGGTTGTTCGTCTCTGTGTGGCCTGCAACTGGCTGGCAACCGGTTGTGGGTGTCCCCCTGCTTACTGCCCAAAGACGGCTGGGATAGGCTCCACAGCACCCCCTTCGACCCTTGTGAGAATAAAGTGGCTCAGAAAATGGATGGATGGATGTTCAATAGTTTCAGTTTTATCCACTTAAATTTTTCATTTATTCTTGTTCTTTTTACCTCCTCGCTGCACGTTCGATCACCATTCAGTGGCTCATTGTGTGCTCAGTACGCAACTGTATTTTTCGCACCTAATTAGAAGGTGCAGTATCAAAAAACGGGTCTATTTGAATACATTTTCATACATTAAGCGCATTGGATTATGGTGTGCATTATTTTTGTGAAGCATCGTATGTTAAATAGTTGATTGTAATTATGCCGTATGTTTATTGTATAGGTTTGACGATATTCCACTAGGTTCACACCAAATATCGTGTCTTGCGTGCTTTTGTTCGCTGTGCAGCTACATGGGGGTTAAGATTGGATTTTGTGTCGACAGATCTAATTAGTAGGGTTGTACGAATAGGAATATATTTACAATGCTGAAAACATATACAGTACCTGCTACACGAATTTATTCTCAGACTGAGACCTGCTAGCGATTAAATGGGGTTGAGAATGATCATAAAAATGTGAATGCCAATGTAAATAGGAAGGAATTTGAATTTAAACTGGCCAACGGAAAAGCCGACTTCCTCTCTTCGCCTTTCATTACAAACAAGTGTTGATTTACCTCATACCTCGAAAAAACATTTTAATAGATTTTTGAGAGCTGTGTACCACTTAAAATCAATTCGACGTCAGTAAGCACAACCAGAATTAATAGAGAAGGCTCACCGTTTTATAAGGTGCACTGTCGTTTTTTTGGGACAAAATGAATAGACTAAGTGGACCTTGTAGTCTGAAAAATATGTTACGTGCATTTTGGCCACTTCAATATTTCATCCACAAACAGGCCTACATATAGAATTTTACATTTCACCAAGTAAACAGCTGAAGCTAGATCTAGTTCAAGCCTTTATTGAGCTTCACAAAAAAAAAAAAAAAAAAAAAAAAGTTAAAAAAACATAGTTGAATCCTGTGCTTTGCGAAGACAAGCCTTGACCGTCTGCCCACAACACTTCGGCATGGATAAGCAAGGTTTAATAAACAATTTTTTTTTTTAAATTACCGGGAATTCATTCTTTCTTGCCTACCCAAAGTTGACTTTGAGTGGCTAAAAAAGAAAGAGTTTGTTTCTTGAACAAAGTGACTACTGCAGTTTTACCTTGGTTGTTTGCAACAATTTTTCCCTCATAGAAAAGTACCACTATTTATTGTACATACGTGGCATATAGATACTAAGAGGGAACTGTAGTTTCAGCCTTGTAAAGCTGTTGGGCCATCATTTTTTCATTTCTGTTTATCATATGTGAGGTATTCCCACATACATAGAGCAACAGCCTTGACGGTAATGTTGCTGAGTGTCCCGTTTTTCTCGAGCTCTATTTACATGTATGGATGACAATCCTTCCACCGTGATAGGATGAATCCTATTGACACAACCAACAAGAGGAGCGCCACGTTGGCTTTTCCGGGGAGTCATGCTTGTTTTGTGGCAGCGGCACAATGACACCCAGAGAGGAGAGAAGACTCCTGCGGGATCTCTGCTGACAGCGGGCTTGGTTTCTATAACAAGCATGGTATATAAGCATTGTGCTCCGCCAACAAACTACCACCAATTGACACCACCAACATGGGGAAGGTCCGATTTGTTTTTATTTTTTAAATTTCATTCCACAGATAATATTCTGTTTTGAATTTGTTTCGATATGTTTTTCACTCCAGATCATCTTCTACGAGGACAAGAACTTCAGAGGCCCCCACTACGAGTGCACTGGCGACTGCACCGACCTGCAGGCCATGCTCGAGCGCTGCCGCTCAATCCGCGTGGAAAGTGGCATGTTCATGCTCTACGACCGTCCTGGCTACATGGGCAACCAGTGTTTCCTGAACAGAGGCGACAACCCTGACTATATGGGAACGACATGTATGAACGACAGCGTGCGCTCGTGTCGCCTCATCCCTATGGTAAGGCCTCTAACACATCTCTAGACCTCTGTACCTCTAAAAAAGAATGCTCAGTTTTGAGATATATTATTGTTAGAGGAATTTATGAGCAAAATTGTATCATGTTTAAAGTTTCATTTAATTTGGACACATCTAAACGTTTGGGCGCGTATCCAGCACTTCCAAATGCCTGTGCACAAAGGCGCCGGCCACCTGGCCGGAGGGCTGTTGAAGTCCACAATTAGCACGTCAATGCAGGTGGGCAATCACAGGGGAGGGGGCGAAACTCGGTCACAAAAGGGGAATGAATAATTTGGGAACAGCGGTTGAACAACAAAAGACGAGTTGAGAACACCCGTCGCGCCCAGGCGACATTTGTCGTCCGCGAAGTCTGCAACATGTTGATACAGTGTGGACCAGACAGAAAGGCGCCAATGTACTGGTGGTTCAAAGCTTAAACTCAGGTAACCAATCACTACCGAGGGGCCGGACCGGGGGTGCGGTATGCAAATGTCGGGGGCAGTGTTTTCCTTGTATGTTACAATAAAAGTCGAAATTGGCGGGAAGGGAGCTCGAGAGTGTGATCCGCTTGCAGTCCCCCCCCCCGCCGATATTGAAGACAATTTTCCTGTGTGCCGAGTCATTTCTTTAACTTTTTCCGAGAAAATCTCTGACAGAAACTTGGCGTTGTCGGCAGGATGATGCGCTTGTTCGAACGGATTTGAGGTTTTTTTTTGGACTCTCTGATTTCCTCCGGTGGACGATCCGTGGCTGATCGCGCGTTTTGCGCCTCCGAAGTCAACCAGACCTCGTGGAATTTACCTGAAGGAGCCAGCCGCGCACCGGACGCCGTGAGGAGCGAGCAAGCGCCATCATCCAACGGACCTGGGTTCAGCTCGGCATCGGGAC